GGTATCAAAGAAGTGAATTCCGGAATAAAAATTTGTTCACGTCATTTTAATGCACATGATTATATTTCAGCAAGTATTTACCATCAGCCATAACCTTAATATTTAAAACTAGAATCATACTACAATTATAAAGTGAGAAATTATTTATTCCTGTGTAATTGATTTAACAGAATTCTAATGATACAATATAAGTATTTTGAGGTTAAGAACCTACCTGCTGCAATACAACAAAGTTGCAATAATGTGTTTGCAACGTTCTCTTAAATCAGCTTTGCACGTGCAAGTCATTGATATGATATTGCTTAAATCACTCAGAATCACCTCACCAATTATATAACGTGAATCACTTTTTAAATCCGAAGTTTGTAAAAAGTAGGCAGTAAACTTGACGGAATTTGAAGGCTAGCTTCCGGATTTGTTATTTCCGATTTTTATAATGTGATTGGCATTAAACGAAGTTTCCTTTCCGAGGCTTTGTGTCAGCCCAATCACATATTGTGTCAATACTTATCATTTTATCGTAATTTAAAAACTAAAACGGTACACTATAGGAACTACGATAAATTTTCCCTAATCGGCGCCATGTTTTTAGGCTCCTCCCATTTGACGGATCCCAATAGACTCGAAAATTTAGCGCGTTTGTTAGAAAGTGACTCTTAGCTAAAAGAACCATTAACGAAAATATTTTGTTTGTTATTGAAAATGAAGTCCGAATGGATTTAAATTTGACATTTTTTTATTGTTCTTCGATCCTACTTTCTAACGATCTTCCCTTTTGCCCAACGTATAATATAATTGTTACTCAATTTTTACTAATATTTTAACAAATATCTATCCCTAATACCAACCTAATGAAGCTAAACAAGTGAAAGTGTAAAATGCTAATGACTATCATGCCTCTCGGTACATTTTTTCGCCGGTTCACACCATTACTTGGCATTAATTCGAAAACGGTGCCGAATCAGCGTTAACCGTCATTTTTCCAAAGTGGTCCTTGCGTGTAGTTATAAGGTAAGGTGGCATTCTGCGATCGTCATCTTCATCAAAATTCAATACTGCAACTCCACCTCCTTGAGACCCACCCAGCAGCAACATTATTTATTATGTTATGTATTTGAATATAGAATTATTACCATAGGCCAATGTCAATTGCTCCCAAAAGAATTCTTTGCGTTAGTTCTTAATCCCAACTAATATTATGGTTTCTTTGTTTATTACAATTTCACGTCTTGACTACTCAACCCATTATCATGAAATTTTGTATACACATTGCCAGGGGTGTAAAAAAGGACATAGGGTACTTTTTATTCAGAAAAAAGACACTGTTCCCGAGAGATAGAAAAATTAGTTTCATGTGGTCGTCGATGATTTTTGACAGGTATTTAGGTCATCAAAACGAGCGAAGCCGCGGGTGAAACCTATCATGAAATTTTGTGCATACGTTGTGAGGGGTTCAGAAAAGGACATAGGGTATCTTTTATTCAGAAAAAATACTGTCCCCGAGGGATAGAAAAAAATTAGTTTTATATGGTCGTCGATGATGTTTGACAGGTATCATGGCGAGCGAAGCCGAGGGGAAAATCTAGTGTAATTATAAATAATAACTAATATTTACTCAAATTAGGCATTTAACAACATATGATGAATAATAAATCATTATTAATATAAATATTTTTTGTAAGTCCTTTTTAGATTATCTAAAAAATCGCATCATAATTAAGTGTAACAAGTGATTATGAAAGGCTTTAAATAAACTGAAAGTTTGGCGTAATTAGGAGTTTCTAATACTACGGGTTAATTAACTTTCTTTGTAATTCTTACCGTGAGAAACATCTGTAACAATAGCGAAGCATAAAAAACTACAGCTGTTTAAGTTCAGTTTGCTGCAGTTAAAATTGCCTACAGGTATTTGTTTCCTAATAGGTTCCCACTTAAGGAATCGTCTTCATTTGAATCAAAGCGTAAGTTGTTAAGTGCTTTTTAAACGTTGAAGGGCCGTGTTTGTATTTTACCTAACAGAAACTCATCTTCTTTGCGTTAATATTATATTGCCGTCAATTGGCAAAAGGTACTTTGAAAATCGCCCATACAGCGAAAAATGTTTGGCTAGATTTTGTGAGTCTTCTTCCTTCTTCCATCTAGGTTTGAACCTATCCTTTATCGATTCAGGGCGTAAATCCATCTTCATCTCGATTGTGTTGGTAGGCCTTCACTTCTTCTTCCTATGAGCGATTTATCTCTGATCTTTTTTGCCATTCTGTCTTGTTCCTTTCTTTCTATGTGTGTATTCCATTCTTTTTCCCTGTTGTGCCCATTCTGTAATATTTTCTACTTTTCATAGTGTCCTTATATTGTCACTTCTTTCTCTGTCGTACAGGGGTTTCCCAGTAATTCTGCGAAGTATCTTCATTTCAGCTGTTTTTAATAGTTTTTTTGTTTTAGATCTGTCAGGTCTGGTCTCAGCCGTGTAGGTCATGAAAGGTCATGGTGTTTTTATTGTATATTCGTGTTTTTTTTGGGTCTACGCTTAGATTTATGGTGTTATTAATTTGAAAATTCATTTTTAATTTTTTACCCACTATAAACTACTTCAGGTTAATGTCGGAAAATTTGTTCTTGTTGTTACTCCCTCGCCGGGAATCGAACCGGGGACCTTTGGCTTTACGCACCAACGTTCTGACCACTAAACTACGGGAGATGACAACAGCAACAGCTACAAATCGCACTTATTAAGACACAGGATCTGTCGAACTTCTGTAATTATATTAATACTCTCTATGAAACACTTTGACAAAGGTCTTAAGTTTGATTCCAGGGCAGGGTGTGACAACAGCAGCAAGTTTTCCCTCATTAACTTGAGGTTATTAACCACTATTAAATGTCAAAGTGTTTCATGTACAGTATTTATGGTGTTGTTTAAAAAAAAATCAGGTACAGGGAGTAAATTTTCAGTAGTTTTTGGTATTGAAAAAACTTGGTGAGATTAGAATGTAGGAAATTGTTCTTTTTATTATGATTAAATGTTCATTAAATCGTGGTAATCGTCAAAATGGACGTTGAGAAAACGTAAAGCGTGTGTGTGTGTGTGATGCATATGTCAGTTGTTTCGGCTTTCGACGGGTTTAATTGCAAATTAAAATCGAAAGGTGACCGGTCGACACTTTAGTTCTGTAGTAGTTAGCTGATGATAATAGTAAACGTAATTGAGGACGCGACTGATGCCTTTTACGAATATCCACCGTAATTCTGACAAGAGAAAGTAACTACTTACTTCTATTGAAAAATAAATATTTACTTAGATAATAAACACTAAACAGTCGACGGTACTAAATACGGAAAATAAAAAACAAAATGGCACAATCTTTCTGTTCCCTTTTATTTTTTCGTTCGGACTTCATAGTCCTCAACAGCAGTGCAGGACATTGAGTGAAATGAGGTTCGGGTCTATAATAATCGGAAGGGAGGTCGCTTCATATAATTTTATTGAAAATACAAGCGTTGATAACAATACCCCAAGTTGACATACTCATGAGTTTTTTGGGGGCCTAATTATCTCATAATCATTATCGTAAGGTCGTCCTTATTTCTCTCTACTCTTTCCTATCCTGAGCTAATCTTCGCATTTCCCTAAAACTAGAACAAGTCACATCCTTAACAATATAATCTAATAAAATAATTCGAAGTGGTCTGTATCCTGTCGAAACTGCCAGACGCGGATCGCGATTTCGATCTTTTTGGATCTCATCAGCGCCAGAACACAGACCAACTTTTACCTGCTGTCTTAACAGTGCGTTTTATAAAATATCACAAATGGCGCGGTAAACGCCACCTGTAGTATGATGCTACATTTTAGGATTACGCATGCTCCAACAAGGTCCATTTAAATATATGGATATCTACTTGCTGAAACGAATCCCGGCATAGCTAACCTCAACGTGATACGCACGTTACCATAATCGAATAAAATAATTCGAAGTGGTCTGTATTCTGTCGAAACTGCCAGACGCGG